ACATCAGTTCCTTAAAGGGTTTCTTCCTTTGTTTGTTTGTTTAATAAATTAATTAATTAACTAATTAATTAATTTATTTTACATCCTGGCCACAGTTTCCCATCCCTCTCCTCCTAGTCTCTCTCCAGTACCCCCAACTGTTCCCACGCCCCAATCCATTCTCCTCCATTTCTGGTTAGGAAAGAGCAGGTCTCCCATTGAGTATTGACAAAACATGGCATGCATCAAGTTGCAGTAAGACTAAACACCCATTTCAACAATTGCTTATTGAGTACACACCATATGCCAGAAAGCATTTGGGTAGGAAGCCATTCCTCTCCTGGGCCCTAGGACTCCTGCTCCAGTCGGGGGGTGGGGGTGGGGGTCTCAGGTTTGGCAAAGCAAAGCATCTTGGTGGCACCTCCCCCTCTCTCCTAAATCGGCTAATGATGGATGAGCTTCGGACCCTACCCTCTCCCCAGCCCCTGAACATACACTAGAGCAGGACTAGGCAAACCTGCCTGCTGTCAGTTACTAGGATGCAAAATCAATTTCTCAGTTACTTAAACACGGTTAAAATAAGGCAGGGCAACATATTGCGAAGGTGGTTTCTTTTTTCTGTTAAAACTCTCCTCACATATATGCACTTGCTCATAATACATCCATATCTTTCAAGGTAAATTCTTGGTTAAAAGTATAGAAAAAGGGCAGGTGGTGGTGATGGTGCATACCTTAATCCCAGCACTCGGGAGGCAGAGGCAGGCGGACCTCTTAGATCGAGGCCAGCTTAGGCTCCAGAGCGAGTTCTAAAACAGCCAGGGATATACAGAGAAACTGTGTCTCAAAAACACTAAAACATATATATATATATATATATATATATATACACACACATATCTATATATATATATATATGTTTATATACACATATACGAGAGAGAGGGAGGGAAGGAGGCCGGGAGAAATTCCTATTTTCATGACTATTAAAGGAATTAACAGTAGACACTGTTGTGCATGCATTCTTTCTGAGCTCTGCAGAATGTGCACCAGAATTGCGACCTGGGCTGTTCCTGCAGCTGTCATAGGCATGGGTGCCTGTTAGGACAGGACAGCACATGACTCCGTGGCTGAACTTACGGCTGGAGTAAGCAAGTGGCTTCAGTTCTCTTATTTCAGCTTCGTCGTGATACACGAGTTTGGCTAAACAGTGGTGCTCAAGCCACTTAAGACGGTCCCTAAGCAATTTTCATCATCGGCTCGATTCGCCTGGTGGTCTCTCGCCAGTGCCTCACACGTGCCTAGCTGTAATAGTGGGCCTCTGTGAGAATTTGCATGATTAACGTATGTAGTCCTTGCATTTTACATGAAGTGAGCTGTGTACCCATGAGAGACAAAAATATCACAGACGTCACTTTGCTCACACCATTGAGACACTGCAAAGTCTAGAAAAGTACAAGCTTATCAAGAACCACAGAATTCCACAGCCAAGTGGTTTGCTCCAGTTTGCTTCACTCTCCTGGGCAACAGCACGCCCTGCGCCTTTTCAGGCCAGTCACATGTCACGTGAGACTTGAGGCCTGCAATTCTTGAATCCATTGCAGCTGCCCCAGAAATCAGTCCTTCCTGGAAGCAGCATGTAGCGGTCAGGGCAAGTTTCTCCATTTCCTTCTCTAGAGTGATGGGAAAATTTAGTGGTCTCAAGACCGGATGCTAGAAGACCAGCACTATTTCTCATTCGTTCAGTTTCTCGTGACTTTACCATAAAAATTCTGCATGTGCTTTGGTGGAATCCAAGCAACATCTAAAAGGAAAAGGAAAAAAAAAACTCACTAAGTATCATCATTATTAAGGGAGTATCTGTCTAAGCATGGAACTGTGGGTAGATGGATGGATAGATGGATAAAGAGAAAGGGGGGTGCTTCCAATAGAAGAACACCCAGGAGCTGTAGTTACAGACTACGGGAGATGTAGTTACAGACTATGGGGGATGTAGTTACAGATTATGGGAAATGTAGTTACAGACTGTGGGAGATGTAGTTATAGACTACAAGAGATGCTATTTTTAAAGTTTAAAAATCACATTTAACTTTCCCAAAGTTACCAAGTGCCTTAGTTTCGGTTACTATTGCTGCAATGAATTACCATGACCAAAAGCAAGTTGGGGAGGGTAGGGTTTATTTGGCTCACACTTCCATATCCCTGTTCATCATCGAGGAAGTCAGGAGAGGAACTCAAACAGGGTAGGAACCTGGAGGACGGAGCTGATGCAGAGGCCATGGAGCGGTGCTGCTTACTGGCTTGCTCACGTGGCTTTCCTTGTAGAATCCAGGTCCCACCACAATGGGTTGGGCCCTCAGCCATCAATCACTAAGTAAGAAATGCCCTATAGGTTTGCCTACAGCCCAACCTTGTGAAGACATTTTCTCAATTAGACTCCCTCGTCTCAGATGACTTTAGCTTGTGTCAAGTTGACATAAAACTAGCCAGCACACCCAGAACAAGAGGAAACTGAGAAAAGAATTCTGAATTTTAAGTAAACTTTTTTTTCAAAGTAATAAATGCTGTTTATTTCTCCTTATAAAACCAAGGGGGGCGGGTTAAAGAACTTTCTGTGTGGGCTTTGTATTTTTCTAGTTGTTTCTGTGGTAGATCTGGTGTTGCTGTTCACTTCTCTCCCCTTCTGGAGTATTCAGCAGACCCCCCCCCTTTCTTTTTCTTTTTTCTTTTTCTTTTCTTTTTTTGTTTGATAAGTGCATGAATGTGTGCACTCAATAGCACTGTAGCTGTACCGTAGAGAGTGGAGCTAAAGGAGGATTGTAATTGAGGTAGATCACCCTTTGTATTTTCTCCCTTATCCTGAATCATCAAGGGAAGGACTGCTGTATGCCAAGCCTTGCTCTGGGTACCTGGGTGTATCAGAGGGCAATGGGCAGAGCTCCCTGGTGGTGAGGCATTGACTGTGTTGTCAGAGACAGTAAGCAGGACTTGGGAGGGGGAAGCAGCAGCAACACATAAGTAGGGGATGAGACGTTGAAGATCGTGGGTGGACAAAGGAATCAGAGTAAGTGGGGATTGAATTTGAGAATGGGCAGGCAGAATGGCTTGCTGAGACTTGCACTTGACCAAAGATGTGTCCCACAGAGAGGGGACAGCTACCATACAGCTGTGGACAGAGGACAGAGTTCGGGGAAGGATAAACAACATACAGCCAGACCTGTGTCAGGCAGGTCCCTGTGAAGCTGTGGAAGAAGAGGCTTCAAAAGAACTTCTAAAATGTTTTATATAGTTTTGGGGAAAAAAAAAACCCTACTGTGCCAAATATTTTTTTCGCCTTTATTTTTCTCTTCAGGAGGCATGATGTCTTGACAAAACAAAAATAATTACCTGAAATTCATTCTCAAAAGCTTGCAGGCCTGCTTCCTCTTTAACAGACATATAAAGGGATAGAGAGATAAATGGTCAGTGGTTGATTTAATGAGAACCCCAAATCACAGGTCTGCAAAAAATAATTGAGTCGCTTCTGAGAGATAGTACTACGTTACACCTAATGACGCCTTGAGCACTGTCTGGTTTTATCTTTTATAAATGAACCATCTGGGAAGCACTAAGTGACTTAGCCAAGCTACCTGGTTATGCAGGCCTCCTAACCCCAGACCCAGAGGGCGTCCACCCCACCTCCTGCCCAGTTCATTCAGTGAGAACTCAGTTGTTGCTGGCTGTCTCATTGTTGGCCTTCCCAGACTTGACAGTCACATCAAGTTTCCCATCACAGTAAGCAGGGTGCGATTGTATTTTGCAGCATGACCTTCATCTTTGCAATAGACTGTCCCGTCATCATCCTGGAAATTGGCTTCAGGAAGCTCAAATAGCCAGTTTGATCTGCCTCTCTGGGAACGCAGGGTGTTCTTTGTGACTGTCTGTCAGAATGAAGGTTTCTAATTGGTTTGCTTTTCATGGTGCTTCGCTTTCCTCTCCCAGAAGTCATTTCCTCAGCCAAAAGATGTTTCCGCAGTCTTTGTTTTCAAGGACCAGAGTTCACACAGATCCCTAGAGGTGGCCACTTGCCAGCCAAAACATCCCCAACCCAGCCCACCCACCACAGATAACATCCCACGTGGTCCTTGCCAGGAGAGACACAAGATAACTGCTTGGTGGTGTGGGTCTTCCTGGTCTGCCCTTCTTCCTTCCTCCCCCTCTCTTCCTTCCTCTCTTCCTGCTCTACCCAAGCCTGTCCTGTTCTCCACAGTCATCCACTTCTGTGTGTTACACTGTATTTTATTCGCTGATTTAAGAAACTTTTTGGCCTTCATTTCTCCTTACTTCTGTTCTCTCTTAAAGGAGCCGGGCCTCTGGTGGGATAGAAACTTTGGTCTACAGGATTGGCATCCTGTTTAGGAGGTGTAAGGTCAGGCTCTCCGAGCCCTCTCTATGACTGGGATGGTGAGACCACTCAATGGCCTCTGCTCTCCTCTCCTGTCAACTCTTGTCTCTATGGCTTGTTTTTTCATAACGGGGATGGGGATGGGGAGGGGACACTTTCTCCTTGTGCAGGGGAGAGGAGCTGCTGCTTTGGCCTTGAACCCCCCACCCCCCAGCTGGGGCCCCTTCTGCAGGGGCAACAGGACTTGCAGCTTGGAGCATCACCCCCCTGGCCCTCAGGCTGGTACCCAGGGAAGTGTGGCCTTCAGCCAGAGCTCCTGGTGTGGCTTCTGACAAGAGATGGGACTCAAAAAAAGCTTGTGAACAAAACAGCCTGTCCGTGGGCATGATCCGTGTTTGTGTGTATACACAAGGAAGCAGAAATAAGTGGCCATCCGTGGATTTCTCTTCTCTGCAGCTTTTCTCGGATCTTCTGCAGCGAACACTTTCAGGGATGCTAAACGGCACTTTCAGCCCACTGCACCAAGCAGTACCGGAAGACCAGGAGTAGCTGCCTATCTGGCCCATCTCCTCCGTTCCCAAGCCTTCCCCGTCTGAGGTGCTTGCACGTCTCATTCACCTCCCTGTCCCTTCCTCCTCAGGTGACTGGACGGCAGGAATCCCTTCACACATCCTCAACAGCTCCCCGTCAGACCGGCAGATCAACCAGCTGGCCCAGAAGCTAGGCCCGGAGTGGGAGCCCATGGTGCTGTCTCTGGGACTGTCCCAGACCGACATCTACCGCTGCAAGGCCAACCACCCCCACAACGTGCAGTCGCAGGTGGTGGAGGCGTTTGTCCGCTGGCGCCAGCGCTACGGGAAGCAGGCCACCTTCCTAAGTTTGCACAAGGGCCTCCAGGCTGTGGAGGCCGACCCCTCGCTGCTCCAGCACATGCTGGAGTGACCCTGCCCCTGCCACTTGCTGGGGCGTGGGCCCCCAAGTCACACAGGCTGAATCGGACTTCACCCAGCAGGTGGCTTCGCTCTGGGTAATTTTTTTTTCTTTTCAGTGAGCCTTAGGCGGAAGGAGAACACCTGTAGTCTACCGGCTCAATAATCCAATGGCCTTAATTGCTTGAAGATTGCATTGTTGTGACCGCAGTTTTGAACTGCGTGGTTGCCTTTTAACAGAGGTCCAGAAGAAAAACAAAACAAAACCAAAAAAAGCCCCTTGCTACTGCATCACACGCAGGTGCCCTACATACAAAGGAAGCATCTGCTCTTACGTTGCCTGGAAACTGGACTGTGGACTTAGCTCTTCATAATGATGATGATAATAAAAACTGAATTGTGTAATAGAATGTGCCTCTTTCATGAGAAAGTATATCCCCCCCCCATTCTTCTGCTGCATAGTTTGAGGGTGTAAAATTGTGGGTGTGGAGTGAGTTTGATAGCGACTGGGAAATAGTGGGGATAAGTAACTCAGGCAGAATGAATGGATTAAGCCCGAGACACCAAAGCTCCCTGCAGAAGCCAGGAAGAGAACTGAAGCCCCCTCATCCTAATGGATTGCATAAGAAATCTCTGTCCATTTCTTAAAGGGAATTGGGTCTGAGACAAAGGGCGCTCAGTGTTTCCCTCGAGGCCTGAACGGCTGAAGGTGTTGCACTCCTGAGGAAAGTCATGGATTGTCGTCCAGCCTTTCGTCAACAGCAGTGTTAACCAGACAGGTATACATGTCTGTGACCCCAGCTCTTGACACGGGATAATCCCCTCAAGGCCTAGCCTGGGCTATGGCTACACAGTGTTCCAGATCCGTTTCAGCCATTAGCAAGACCCTGTCTCAAAGCAAATAAACAAAAACTGACCATGCAGGGCTTCTCAAATGCTCTTTTTCAGGGCTTGTTCACTCGTGTGTTCTTGTCTGGGCCTCTCAGCCCGAGTAAAAGGGTGGTGCACCCCTCCTTCAGAGGTGGCAGAACCCACATAGGCTAACTAAGCCAGAATGTGGTTAGCCTCGGCATGACTGGATTAGAGGCAGACAGGATGCTTTCTAAGAGCTACATAAAAGGCTCTCGTAGGGGCTGTGGGTGTAGCTCAGTAGGTAGGGTACTTGCCCATCATGCTCAAAGCCCTGAGTTCTAGCCCAGCACCTCATGAACTCAGTGTGGTGGGGAAAGCCACGATCTCAATAGGAACTTGAGGCAGGAGGGGCAGAAGCTCAGTGTCATCCTCGTCTACAGGGTGAACTCAAGCCCTGTGTAAGCTACGTCTCAAGGGGAGGAGGAGAACAGGAAGACAGTTCGTTCATCTTTCACAGTGACTGGAGAGCCCAGTTTTTAATTCTGTAGAATTCTCAAGGGGAGAAAAAGGTATTCTGCTTAGCCCCCTCCACCCAAGGAGAAGCCTAGAAAGAGGAACATGAACCAGATGCTCAGAAAAATGGCAGTGGTCCTTCCAGATATCTGGGACCCTCTTTCCCTCCGCCAAAAAGACCAACTGCTCCCCAGTTCACACAATCCCCAAAGCCTTGTGTCCTGGCCATACCCGCTCTAAATTTCCATCCTGTGGTTCAGTCAATGCTGCATTCATTATTCTCTAAAGCTCGTGCTCTCGGCCACGTCACTGTCCGCACTGATAGATCGTTCTTCTGTAGGGTCGTCAATAAGCCACTTATCATTCTGAACTCTCTCTTTGCTGCTCTCTCATGTCCCCTTGGGAGTCCCAACAGTGAGTTGCTTTGCCTATTGTTCTCACTCTTCAGTCCTAGGCTCTGCCGCAGCGAGCTGGTGTAGACCCAACGACTAGCTGACTAGCTGCATGCCCCTCCTGTCCTTTGCAATGAACCTGTCCTGTACAAGGACACGTCTTTGCTGTCAGTCCTGGGGGGTAGTGGGAAACGAGGCTGTGAAGGGCTGACGGTGGAGGCAGTCTTCAGAGCTCTGGTCACTGCCTTTAGTAAGCAGGGCGGTGCCACTGCCAAATGACAAGGGCCTCTCCTTGCCCCTGCTTACTTCCTGCAGAAGCTCTTCGGAGTAGAGCCAGGCAGCCGCATCATGGCCTGTCTTTCCCTCTGCAGAGTGATGCTAGGTCTCATCTGTCTGCTTCCCAGGAGGCGAGAGGAAACCCACAAGGATTCCATGTGTTTTTGCACAGAAGAGTCTCTGGGTTCAGAGACTTGCTGCCCCAAAGAAAATCCTGCATGCATACAGTGGGGGCAGAAGGACCTCTGAGGCACTAAAAGCTGCAAAACGATGTCCTATCTTTCTCTCTTTGTATGTCTGTCTGTCTGTCTCTGTGTGTGCATGTGTGTTAGGCAGAGCATGTATGTACTTGAGTATGTCTTTTAACATTTTAAAACGAGTAGCTTCTATTAAATTTTCTCAATGCGCATGAAATGCATGTCTGTTGTGTTGTGTCATTTTGGAAAACTAACAATGAATAAAAAGGAAAAGTAAGAGTGTTGTTTGTCCGTCCCCCCTGTTCGTCTGTGTCCCCCCCCCCCGTCTGCCTCCACATCACCACAGCCTGCCTATTCCTCATGCAGCAGGAGCCTGACTGTCCTGTAAAGCCCTTTTACACTTGGCTTCCTCGACTTAACACACAGCGATTGTTCTAATGCCATTAAGGACTTTACAACATCCTTAGCTCTTAGAGCACACTTGTAAGTGCTGTAGTCTGGGCAGCACCTTTGAAGAGATGAAAGGCACTTAGCGGCAGAGTATACCAACAGCTTCCCCCATAAGGACCTTCACTGGCATTGCCCTTCTCCCTTGATCCCCCTCCCATCCTGTGCCATCCGCCCCCCCCCCCCACTGCCACCGTGTTACAGTTTGAACTGTTCACCGCCCCCTACTGGGCATTTTACATCCCCCCCCCCCCCCCCAGAAGCAAAGCTTAGCATGTCTGGACTCTGAGCTTTTCCCATGCCCCAAGATTTCCCCTCCACTGTACTGTATCTAGTCACTGCTGGGTTCTGTGTCTTGTTCTGCAAGAGGATGTTGGGCAGGGGAGGGTGGGGGACAGTAAACTTACATTCCCTGCTGATTACAATTTGGCAGTGTGCTTTAAAGGTCGGCAGGCCTGTGAGTGGCTACGGTTCAACCCTTTTCCAGTGTGTGCAAAGCCACCATTGTTAACCACCTCGGTTTTAGATGGGGCTTTAAGTGCTTTCGCCATTACAAACAATGAAGGGGAGTCCCCACTGTCTCCATTGTGGAATCTCCATTCACCAGAGGTTACCATGAACTACCGGTATCTATTATATTTAGCTTTAAATGTATTTTAATTTGTTGTCAGTTTTTTTTTTTTATCTATTGCAAACCATTCCAACATGCATAGACTTAGAAAAAGAAATGTACCAGCCTAAAACATTTCTGTGAGCTGGGGGATGTCGCTGTCTGGGCCAACTCTGCTGACTTCAGCTGGGCTCACAGGGTCACCAAAGCAGGTAGGCTAGCTGCCCTCTGCAGTGGGCTCGCCCACCCCTCTTCACCTGGCGGTGCCAGCAAGAGTCACACAATGAGAAGGTAAGCCCACGCTGTCCACGCCTGCATTTCTGCTGCTAACATTCTGTTGCCTAGAGCCAGTCACGTGACCAGTTTAGAGCCAGTGTCATCAAAAGACGTGGAGCAAGGAAGAGAATAACTGGTTCCCTGTATGCACAGGATTCTAGATTCAATACTCGGCATAACATTGCTGGGGAAGTGGATAGGGATGGGGGTGGGATGGGGGCAGGGGCAGGAAGCCTACCTTCTCTTTGGCGACATGGAGATTTGGATTTCTATGCTACTTCGCCCCACTGGGCTTCCATAGCCCACTGAAAATGGGTGTTGGAGTGTGCACACTCCACACTCCACTCGTCTCGAGACAGCAGGAAGACGTCCTCATCTATTGCTGGGCTTCCCTGGACACGAGAGTTCTGACTGAGGGGCGGGGGATCACCCGCTGTTGTAGAATGCTGTGGTCATTTCTGCCTTGAAATCAAAGCAGCCATGGACTACCCATGTTTGACTGTCATAGGACTGGCCCACTGACAGTCCCTCGTGGGAGTGAGGCTCCCAGAATGTTGGAGGGAGTCGCTTGTTGGTTCCTGGCCGCCCTGCTAGCTTAGACGCGAAATAACCACACAGAAACTGTATTAATTAAATCACTGCTTGGCCCGTTATCTCTAGCTTCTTATTGACTAACCCTTATATTTTTTTAAATCCATTTCCATTAATCTGTGTATCGCCACGTGGCAGTGGCTCACTGGCTGAAGTTTCAGCATGTCTGAGTCTGGTGGAGGCTCCATGGCTTCTCTCTGACTCCGCCCTTCTTCCTCCCAGCATTCAGTCTAGCTTTTCCCACCTACTTCTGTTCTTCCCTGCCATAGGCTCAAAGCAATTCTTTATTCATTCACCAATAAAAGCAACCTCCGACACCAGTAGAAACTGCACCTGCCCCCCCCCTTCCTGAGAACATGTAAGCAGTTGACAGTAGTTGGAGGGGAGAGACTATTGGGTGGTATAGTTGTCAGCTGTGAGTTGCCCGTGTCCCTGTAAGTAACTCCTCACTGCTGTCCCGTTGTTCCTTGTAAGTGGCTCCAGGAAAACCCTCATTGTACCAGGCTAGATTTGGGTGGTGTGGTTTCTTTGGGCTGTCACTGATGTGCTGTCTGAGGAGAATCGGCATGTGCTCATCTCTCAGGAAAAGGCAATACCGTGCTCTCGAGTTGCTAATCTTGTCTAGGTTGATGGAGGACATGAACAGCTGACCAATAAAATTGCAGTCCCTTCTCTCTTGGACTCACTGCCAAACGAGACAGCCACTGAGGTCTAGTCACAATGTGGTGGGATCAAGTCTACACCCGAGTACTGAGCCCGTGGGAACAGAGAAATGATCCCCTCTGCATTGCTCCTTGGGACACGGGAGGCCTGAAGAGCAACAAGCTCCATCACTCGGGCAAGTCCCTCCACCTTCTTGGGTAGGTTTATTCACCTCTGCACAGTAACTGGCCTACAGGTGCCAAGACCTTCCTGAGGTAAAAAGATACACTGTGCCTACGATGGATTCTATCACAGGATATGTCTGTTTTTTTTTTTTTGTTTGTTTTTTTATAACATTCTTTACTCAGCCAGGGACTGAAAAATGTTAGGCCAAGGCCTCTCCTCCTTCTGGGACTTGGGGCAGCAGGGAGTATGTGGTTCTTCCGTTCATCCCTAGGGACACAAAAAGCAAGGCAGTGTGATCTGTTGGCACACTGTGGAGCATGGTTAGAATCTGGGTGGGAGTCTGGTCTAACGCTTGGCTCCCATTAAATGAATCCCTACAGTCATGGCCCAGATTCTTGCTGGTTACACAGCATTCCAAGTGACTG